GGGCTCATGGCACACAGCCAGCGCAAGGAAGCAAACCAAGGACCACTTACACTCCGAGGAGAGGGTAGAAACGTTTCCCTGCTGCCCCCCGGTTTAGCTGAAACCCGTGCTGTGTACATATGCATGTTTGTAAGATGTAATGTGATGGAGGGCACGCTGGGACACTTTGGATCAAGCGTTTGTCAAGAGCTAGAAGCCAAAAAAAAAAAAAAGACAAGAAAATAAAATAAAAAGGAAAAGAAGCCATGCCGGATGGACAGCAATGTTTCCATATTTACTTTGTTTACAGTGCTTTGTAAATAGGTTCCAGTGAGTCTGTCTTTAGATGGATGTTGTGTCAGCTGCCTTCCAGTTTATCTTTGTCATGTAGGTTTATTTACTGTAACTACTTATGCAAGTTCAACTTTTCTAACATGTTTTTATTTTGAACAGTTTTTTAATTGACATTTTCAACAAATAAAGAAGGATAAAAATCACTTAGCTCTCCATGCTGCTTTCTTTGTTCCCACCATGAAAGCAAAGCCAGTGCTTGCTCTGGGCATCCCTGGCTTGCTCTAAATGCCTGCGGCTACCTCAGCCACCCTCTGATTTACTGGATGCTGGCAGGGATACTGGTACAAATGGTGATGCTGGCACATGGGCTGTTGCTCCCTGCCTCACCCGGACCTGCAGCAGGGAGGGCACCTGGTCCCAGGGGAAGGAGATGTATTTCCATCCCTCAAGCTCCGGTTGCACCCTGCTAACAAGGATGCCTCACGGAGAACTAGCTGCTCTCCGCTGCACTGGTGGGTTGCTGTGGATAATTGACTTCCTGCCTGTTTGAGATTTTTTTTTTTTTTTTTTGAGTTAGTGTGTGGGTTTTTTTCTGGAGATTAGGTGTGGTGACAGGATTTCCTTTGGTCTACCGCTTGGACAAGACCTCTCCTGCACGCTGGTATTTTTAACTCTTTGGTAGAGAAGTGCCACGCACTCAGCCCGCAGCGAAGCAGGAGGATCACGGGCAGGAGGGATGGGCCTTGCTTTCCCTCTCCACACAGGGTGATTGGGGTGGGGAAAAAGGCAAGCAAAAAAGAAATGCTGGCCTCGGGCACAACTGGGGTTTTGGGGAATTACAGCAGAGCTGCATCCATACCCGGGCACCCCAGAGCCTGCACTGGGCAGAAGAGCAAGAGGTGGCATTCCCCAGGCTCATTTTGGAGGGAGCATCTCCACTCCCAGGTCCCCGTGAGGCCAGATCCAGGCCTTAGGCAAAGGCCTCCATCCTGCTCTCCCACCGAATATGGGACCTCTTTGGCTCCTTCTCTTACAGCAGCTCACAAGCAGCCCCTTTGCACAACCCATCTCCAATGCAGGCAGCACCAGCATCCTCCAAACAACAGAGCTGTACTCCAAATGACCATGAATGTGAAAATAACAGGAAAAAAACCCCAACTTAACCTGCGCAGCCCAAAACACTGCATGCAGAGGGCTTGGCTTCTGAGAAGAGATGGAGGCATCTCCTAGAAAGAGATGGAGACCTGCCAATGGGGACCCTGCCCCAACCAGGAGGAAGGGCTGGGGGGAGCTGGCACTGAGCAAGGGGTGCCGAGGCAAGGCTGGCACACAGTGCCTAACTGGGGAGGGAGATTTAAAAAAAAAAAAAAAGAGACCACAAAGCAGTGCACAGAGACGCTAGGACAGGCTTGTCACCTGATCAGCCACCGTGCACAGCCACGCAGCACGTGGACAGCCCTCCTCCAGCTCATGCTCTCCAGCAGCCCTGAGCTCAGTGGCACAAGCTGGCCAGACCTTGATTGGAAACCAGCATCACAAACTTATTATCTAGGAAATGAACAAAACAAAATCTCATTTCTTACACAAAACTAAGAAAAAACCTTTCCCAGCAAATCATGCCGCTGCTTGCTCCTGCTGCTGCTCCTCATCCATGACCCTCCCTGTGACGGTTCTGCTGACATCCCCCAAGTACTCATCACCCTCACACCCCCTTCTCCCTTCTTAGAAAGAAGAAAGAAAATCAGTTCAGACACTGTAAAATCCACAGCCCGAGGAGTGACAGAGAGGCCTCACGTCAAGGGAAAAAGCAATGTATTGACGACCTCCGAACTTTCCACGGGGAGAGGAAACCTGTGCCTGCCACGGCACCGGGCAGGGGAAGGAGAACAAAGCTGCTCAGGAGAAGGCCACAGCTGGATGGTAGCAATCACATCTCCTCCCCTCCCACACACTACCTCATGTCTGAATCCCACGGGCTATTTTTGGCAAGCAAAGAAACAGAGGCAAGAAACAAAAGCCCCGGGAAAGGCAGCAGCACGGGCAGGGGAGGCGGAAATTGAGTTGGTTTATGCCTTTTTTGTTTGTTTGTTTTCTTCTCCCCTTTCTAATTGTTTCCCCCAGCCATGCATGGAAATCTATTGCTCCACGCAATTTGCTAGTCCTAGATCCCCTCTCAGTGATTTGGGGATCACAGCCCAGCCCAAACCCTCTGCGGGTACTCCCAGTCACTAAAGCTGCGGGGTTTTCAGGGGTGTGCACCGATCGCATTTTTCTTTCATCCACAACTGACAGCATTTCTCCTCCCCAAGGTTTTGGGCTCCTGAGAGCAGCCACGCATATGCTCCCCTGAGCTCTCCCCACACACTCCTTCCTGGCTGGCTTTTCCTCTTTCCCAGGCCATGCCAGTTGGCATGGTCTTTGTTTTCTCCTGGGACTCCCACTGCACTCCCGCTGGGCTGGGCACCTCCACTTCCCCACAGAGGTCTGGGGCTCCCCACCCGCACCAGTGCTGCCTCCAGCAGCCCATCCCACAGGGGCCAGCTGGGTTTTGGCAGTGGTGGGGATGCAGGGGGGCACACAACCATGCAAGAGGCAGCCACCCAACCCCTGCTGCCCAATGCGCAGGTGCCACAGATTCCTACCTGGTGCAGCATCCATCCCTCTGTTCCAAACCACAGACATCTCTGCAGGCTCCACACCTTTAGGGCAGGCAGGAATAATCCTCTTCCAGCCAGCTGTCCTAAATCCCCTTTAATTAGCCCCACAATCTGCTCCACAGCTGTGCCGGAGGCTCCAGCCCTGGTGCCTCACTGCCTTCCCTGCTCCCTCTTCCAGCCAAAGTGCCCCCGGCTCTGCCCGGCCCTGGCACCCCAAGATGCCTCAAGGAGTGGGGTAGGAGGGCTGTCCTGGGAGACTTTTGCAACTGGATTTGCTGCCCTCTTGGTCCCCAGAGGCCAAGCAGGACCCTGGGAAATCCCAGTGTGGGGCTGAGAAGGGTGAGCAGCATTCAAAGCATACAAAGCACCCAATCTCTTTATTCGGAAACTGTATTAGTTGCCACAGTGGGCAAAACCTCATACTCGGGTAGGGGGAATGGGAACATCAAAATATGCTGCAAACACAGCTGTGGCCATGCACAGTCCCTTGGCATGCAGGCCCTCCCTCTCCACTGACATAAGACAGTTTTAATTAAATAATTTTATACATGGCATCGGTCAAGAGTGGTCCATTCCCTGATGGAGTTGTGCAATTCTGGAGAACAACAAACAAATACGCATTAAATGATCATAAAACCCGATAGGCTCTGAGCTCTCCTCTGCTGATTTTGGGAGAGGGCTGTGCCAGGCACTCAGCACTGCAATGAGCTGTGCAAAGGCTGCCCTGTCCATCCCACCAGTGACAGCACTCAGGCACTGTGGTAGAACCAGACCTGCAACCTCCAGCCAAGCAAACCCTAAGAACTGCCCAAATCTGAAATCTCTTCCACTTGCAAACCTACTGGCTTCCAGGACTATTTCCAAACTGTTGCATCCCAACAAGTGTGACCTGAGTAGCCAAGTCCTCCAGGCTTACCAGCCTTGGCAGCTTTAGATGGCTTTACATAATGCAGCATCAACACCCTTGTGCTCTGCTTATGGCCCTGCCCACCCTCCCTGTGGGCCAGACTGGGGAGGAGGGTGAGGGAGACCCCAGTGTGCTGCATCATCCAGGTCTCCTGTACCCAAGAGGGGGTCCTGCCCACCAGCACGGTTCTGCTCTCCTGGAGCTCCAGGAAAGGTGCTGCTGTGGACATGTCCTCCCTGAGGACACCCAGAAGATGCTCTGCACACACATCTTGGGAAGAAGCAGCTGGTGCTGCCGCTCCTATACTTTCCCAGTCCTCCTCCCAGGGGAGGAGCCAGGTCCAAATTTGACAGGGATGACCAGTGCCCCTTCCACAGGGTGGTGAAACAGTCCACAGCCAGAGGGTCCTCTACCTGCAGAGGTGGGAGAAGGACAGTCTCGCAAGCAGATTCGATTCACCAAGAACAGAGCACAACCAGCACCGTACCAGCGCTCCGGGTTGAAATCTGCAGCCCCCCACTCAGCTCTGATGTGGGGCAAATATCACCCAGCGCGGATCTGGCCGAGATAGTGTCGCCCTAAACAAGAAGGCTGGTTGAGTTTTATAGATAGGCATGGGTGGAAAAAAGGGGGTTCTCGAGGTAAAGCAGACAGAGTGGCAAGGATGCATCACCGGCAGCTACCACGTAAGGACAGCGCTGGGCTGATTGATTGCTTTAGAGGAGACGTTCCTAAGCCTTTTAATGTTTTTCCGTTGATGTTCTGTAAGCAGATGGGTACGGGAGATATGTATGAAATAGCTTGGCTGGAGCGCCCTGAGCCATCCTACATTGTTAGGAAAGAAACGTTGATGGTAGAGTTTGCTAAATAAAGCTTTTGTGACATAACGGGGACATCCACCCTGCCAGGTGCGCGGGACTTGGTGGATCCAGACAACACGGCACCAGCACATACCAAACCATCGGCAATGAAAGAAAAAAGTGAAGGGCAAACAACAACTTCAAACTTTGTTCCATGTGTGTTCTCAGGGCCCCCTTGGCCTTCATTAATAAATAACAAAATATACAAATTAAGAAACAAGACAAACAAAGATACAGAGGAACATAAATAGGGGAAACAGGGAAAGCCACTTTGCTCAAAAAAGTCGGGCTGGATCCCCCGACTCATTGCAGCTTGAAGATGCCGAAGTAGGTGCTGCCGTGGCTGTAGCTCACTCGCGTTGAGTCTGTCACATTGACAAAGACCATGTCACCTTCACGGAGTTTGAAGACACCTCCTTCCCGGATGGACTGGAGGTCACAGAAAGATTTGGAGGTGCTGTGTGTGTCTAGTCCCTTCAGCAAGAGCCGGTCCTCTTCCATGGGGAGATACAAATAAATATAGAGGGTGAAGGGTGCCGAAGTCGCTGCCTTGGTGCAGAAGCTGACTTGGGAGTAGATGTAGTAGAGACCTGCTTCCTTCACCTTCAGCTTCCCTTCCTGGTAGGATATTGCGTTGTTGTTCGTGGGGCCGTACATCGTTGTCTTCCACTCTAGCACTGCAGGGGGAAAGCATGGCAGATGAGCTGGGAGAAGGAGACATCCAGTTTGGCAGGCTGATTTTGGGGGGACACCCCACAGACATATGGCATCACAGCCTCTGTCTGCTGCAGAGTGTGGGGCTGGGTCCTACCCATCCCAAGACACCATCCCCAGCCCAGGAGAGCAGGATCTCCTTCCCTGAGTCCAGGACATGTTCAACCCATGTGTCTGGTCATTGACCTTGGCACCCTTGAATCGGTTATGCAAGCAGAGAAGCGTTTTGCTTCCTTCATCCATCCAAGTGGAAATAGAGTGGAAGATTGCACACAGTTGCCATCACGGGCCCAACACCCGTGTGTCCACCCCTGTAGGGTTGTTATCTCCACAGATTTCAGTGGCACAACCCCAGAGCCCTCAGACAACTGCCAAAACATACTGCAACCCCTATCTTCAGAGGCACCCATCCCAGGGCACCCAGTTTTTCCAAACTGGGTGCTGCCTTTCCTCCAAAGTCCTTTCTCCACTTGACCTCTGGAGAAGGAGAGTCTTCACCAAGGAAGCACAGAAATAATTATCCCAGAGATTTGGTCCCTGGCAGGGTGCAGGGCTGGAAGGGTTTTGCATGGCAACTGCTGCCTCCCACCACCAGGACCACTGCCCATGCAGACCTGCGACTGGCATGGCTGTGGGGGCTCTATGGGTGGCATCAGAGCAGCTTGTGAACATGCACACCGATGGAGTAGATATGGATAGGTCAATGCAGGGATCAGGAAGGAAGCCATGGCCATAGGGGTTGAGCTCAGCTACAACCTGCGGGAGGAATTTTGCACCTCCAACTTCTGCAGCCTACAGAGACACTTGTGAGAGCAACGAGGGTGAGCAACCTCTAAGGGCAATAACAGGTTCAACTGTCCCAGCCCAGAGTCCTAGTCCCTGCAGCGGGGTGGCACGGGTGGTCACGGGTGAGCCACACAGCCCATTGTCCATGCCTGTGCATCCCACGGGGATGTTTCCTCTGTGCCCAACTGCCGAGGTGCAGAGCCAAGCTCCAGGCAGCTGCTGCTCTCTGGGAAATTTCAACCTGCTTTATAGGCTCAATAAGTGCTTCAGCAGGGAGTTTTAAAATGCAGTGAGTTTCTCACTTCTTTGATCTTATCTAACTCTAAGCTTTCCACAGGTAGACTGAGCTCTGGGTGAAATGCTGCATCAGAGGTGGAAAGAGCAGTTGCTGATTACTGGCAGTTACTCCAGAATTAAATCAAAAGCACTCAGATTGCAAAATCCTTGCCAGATTGAGACTGACCTTGCAAGCTCTTACTCACTTTGGTAATCCTTGCTCTTGCAGGATGTCCCTTAGCTAAGGCTACGCTGGGGGATGGAGCTGCAAGAGCAACCGCAGACTGTGCAGAGGGATGCGCGAACGCAAATGGACTCGCATGCATTTCTCAAACCCAACGTGGCCATGGCTGTGAATAAGTGCAGCTTGCCGAAATCATTGCTGTGACTATAAAGTCACCAGCCAGCCTGTATTGCTACGGTGACCACTTTGGGTGAGAAAATGTTAAGATCAGCAGATACAATATGCCAGCAGAGCCCTCCTGCAGCAGCCACCCTGGCAAGACATGGCCAGGAGAGCAAATGCATTGCATTTTGAGTCCAAAAGTGAGAGGTTTGTTTTCTGAAATACAGAGAATAATATTTTTCCCCTTATAAAAATACACTGTAAAGACTAAGCTGTTGTGGTGCATTTCTAGGAAGGCTGATAGAAGGTTACTGGGGACAGCCGGCATGGGATGTGCAAATCGTGTGACACAGGGTGACATGACCACCGGGAGGTTTGTTGTGCTCTGGGGACACGCTCTCAGTGTTGGAGTTGTGTTGGTCCCTGTCCCTGCCCTTACAGAACCATGGGGCAGGATTGCAGGGTCCAGCCGGGGAGGATGGGAGGACACTGCTGTGCCCGGCTGGCTCCCTGGCCAAGGCCGTGTCATGAGGGTCTGTCTTACCTGAGACTGCCTTGTTGCTATTCTGACCTGCCAGGTGGGCTGCAATCGGCTGCCTCTTCTCCGCTGCAATTTGGAAAGGCAGGTGTTATCGATACCTTGGCACCCGCTGTACCCCCCTCCGGCAGCACAGTTCCTTTGCAGGGACTGCGGCATCTCCCACCCATGATATTTCTCTATGGGACAAATCCAATTCAGGGACACAGTCTCCGAAGTGTCCCATCAGTTTTGAGTGAGGCAGGATCTGGCATTTGCTCAGCAATGACACTGAGTCACCTTTGAGGTGGAGCCCTTTAGGGATAAAGCCCACATAGACTGTGCCACCTTGCCCACCATGGGAACAGGACCTGGATGTGCCCACTCCTTACCTGACAGAGACGTCTGGTTCTTGTGCATCAAATGGTGCTCAGGGCCTGCAATGCAAAAAAAGCCATGGATTTAATTCTGGATTGATTTTCATCAACTTGAGGCAACGTGGCACCTAGAGCCGCCTGCCCTGATGAGACAGTCATGCCCAGTGCTCCCTCTGCCAGCCCCATGCCGTTCACAGCCTGGCCCCATGGGGATGCTCCAAACCCCAACCCTGTGCCCTGCCTCCATGCCATGCCCTGGTGAAGGAAACCCCTCCCCAGGCCAAGCTATTCCTCTTGCCCAAGCCGTGGGTATGGTGGTGGCACTAGGAAACTCACCTCTCTGCATTTCAAACTTGGGCTGCTCCTTGCGGGCTCCCC